ACTTCCCTTATGGGCGATCTTCGCTGGACGACGAGGTAATTTCCCCATTGGAATGCATTAAATGGGTTTCAGTGCATTCCAATGGGGAATTGTTTTTCACATGACGACAATTTCGCTTAACAGCGATTTTCCCGGAACGGATTATCGTTGTCATGCACGGCACCACTGTAGTGTCCTAAATTTAGCTTGATACCAAACAGAGTGAACCTTGCTAGTGTAGTTGGAGGTTAGAAAACAGTGGCACAAAATTTTTGTGGATGCCACTTTTATGCTGACTCTGAAAATGTGCTACGTTTCTGCTAGGTGGAGGATGAACCCACCCTTTTTATTTTACAATCCTGTCATCTTTTCTTACAGAATTTGTGCCCATTTTAATTCACCCTTTGCTATAATAGCACAAAGTACTTGGTAATTGGTTTATTTCATAGTCTTTCAGAGTGTTGCATTATTTAAAATCATGTATGTATGTGAAATATAGGTAAAAGTAAAAGCAAATTAAAATGTTAAGACTATTTTTTATGTTCAGTAACGTTAACTTGGCCATTTGCTTAATCTTCTTTTGTACACGTGGTGGGGCATAAATTGCATGTACATAAATGCTGCATTGATTGAATTTCTCCACAGTCACTGAAAATTTGTCCTGTATCCAAGTAGCATCCCCATTTTACTGGCTTATTATTTGTCCTTCTTATTTCACTCCAAAGTCTATTAAGTGACTTCCAAATGGTCCAGCTAGTTTAGCCCTGGTGGGAGACACTCTTCAGCATTCATCCATGCAGCAAGGTGTGATGTCAGATTGATGCTATATCTGTGCCCAAATTTACATTTATATATTTTGCATCTGAGATCTGCTTAAAATTTTTTTCTTAATGATTTTCTTTTTTACATGTATTCTCTTGATTCTAGTGTGTCAATATCATTTATGTGTTCCTGAAAACATGTCCACACAATCACATTTCCAACAAATCATTCTGATATCTTGGTACAGTTCTCTGATCTTCTAAGCAGCCGGCAGACCATGCAGAGCACATTCCTGTTCTGAATATTTTTTTCTTTATAGAAAATATGCAAGCCTTTGGGAGTTTTCCCTACTGTGGTTTTACAAAATTGCATCAAAAACCTGTACTTTTCTAGTAGAGATTCTGAAAGGTAACCCTGATGCAATGCAGCATTTCTTCTGGTTGAAACTTTCCATGTTTGTTGTGTTTGCTTTATCATTTCTTCTTCATTTAGCCTCCAGATAATGGTCCTCCACCTCTGCCCTCCTCATCTCTTCCTGAAGGTTACTATGAAGAGGCAGTACCGCTCAGCCCAGGAAAGACTCCAGAGTACATTACTTCCAGTAAGTAAAATAAACAGATCAGACAGTGCATGAAAGGTTTCCTTGCAGAGGGGTTGATTCTTCTTCGTAGTCTCTGTGAATGCACATGAATGGGTTAAACTGCACCTGCGCAGGACTCTTCGGAATATTCTAGAGCTTAAATAAATGACCAGTAGAACTTTGCCCCGCCCGCCTGTGGTACCTCATTTCTTTTTTGCCGCCGCTACAGTTGTACTCTTTCGCAACACCTAGAGTATTTTCAATTCTTTCAAGTTTTCTGGTTTTGATTCTGGCCTGGTTTCTTGACTTCATTTTTCTGATCTCTGAAGTATTTGACTTGGACTGACATGATTTATGATTCTTGCATTTTGGGTTGGCTACCGTTGTTGTGTCTGGATTTTAACCTTTGGACTGGTTACCGTTTGTGATTTGGATTATGGACTTGGTCTTTTGTCTTCTTGGTTTTTTTTTATCCTGGACTGCAATTGTTAATTTTCCCTGTTAGTTCTTTCCTTTTTTTCTTCTCCCCTCCTTCCACCTGTTCCTGCCAAATTGTATGGTCTCATCAGGCCCTTTCAAACGCTGTATGCCATGTGCCAACAAGATCTCCTTCATGGACAGCCACGACCGCTGTTTATTCTGCTTGGGGGAGAGAGACCAGCCCCACTCCTGTCAGGAGTGTAAAAAATTAACCAAGCCCGCCCTTAAGCTCCGCTTACAGCGGCTCCGCTCATATCTTTGTGAGAAATCGTTAACACCCTTGACCTCGGCAGCCATGGAACTTACTGTGATTCCTGCTCCTCCCACTCCTTGTCCCGACCCCACTGCCTCGCCAGCTCCTGCTACTCCTTCTTCGAGAGCTTCTTTGAAGGCGTCCAAGCCAAAGAAGTCATTGACATCGGTGTCGACCATCTGCTAAAGAGCCCAAGAAAAAGAAGGAGGTGGTTAAGCTTAAGAAGGCTAAACAGTCTTCTAAGTCTGTTCAGCCTAAGGAACTCCCTGCATTTCAAGTGTCCCTGCCTTCACCGATACTTGAGGAATCATCCAGGGAGCTTCCTGATCCTGACTCACTTTCTGAAGGGTTCGGATCTGTACCAACATCGCAGAAGCAGGCTTCATAATTGATTCCAAGCCTGACTCCAAGTCATGGCCATTCTCCAGCCTGGCCTCAGCCCATTCAAGCCCTATGTCAATCGAGCAGGCAACAGTGATTCAATTGTCGAACTCGGAGGTGTCACCACAGCAATCCCCTTTGCGTAAATGTCTGGCAAAACATTGGCATTTTTCTCCAACCCGACAGCTCTCTTAGCATTGGGAGGACATAGTTCTTCCACTTTCATCTCAACGTCATGCTTTTGCTGAGTATGAAGAGCCACTTTATGTAGAAATTAATCGGCGTGGTAGTCAACGTTGGTACCATGGGGACAATCTCGATCCCTTATACAACACCAGAGATTATGTCAGGCCCAAGAGGGTGCAGTATGTCTATGCTTCCCCGTCTGGGTCAACTCCATCGCCTTCACTGCCTCGATGTCAGTATTGAGCCTATTTCCAGCTGGACCTTATGACTTCGAAGCCTGCTACTAAGCACCACAGCACGATCAACAAGCATCCCATCCTACGAAGCATTCTCGGGCCTCATCAATACCATCACCCTCAGTATCCCACCCAAAAGCGTCTCACGCTCAGTCATCTTGACAGACTGAGTCTTCTAGAGCCGCTTATCCACCTGAAATGGAGACTTCCGCACCAATTCCCTGAGCTTCAGCCTCCATGTTGAGAATTCACTCACCGCCTCTGTCTCTTAATAGATGTTCCAGAGGTTCCTTGGTTTCATCAGCCTCTGAGCAAGACCCATCTTTGGAGGCATCCAGGGAATCCCCTTCAAATTTACCTACACCAGATTCAGATGTACAGTGGTGCCTCGCCTAACGAGCGCACCATTTAACGACGAATCCGCATATTTTTATCTATCTATCTATCTATCTATCTATCTATCTATCTATCTATCTATCTATCTATCTATCTATCTATCTATCTATCTATCTATCTATCTATGGACTGGAAGAAACCCAAGCCGGAATTAAGATTGCCGGAAGAAATATCAACAACCTCCGATATGCAGATGATACCACTCTTATGGCAGAAAGTGAGGAGGAATTGAAGAACCTTGTAATGAGAGTGAAAGAGGAGAGTGCAAAAAATGGTCTGAAACTCAACATCAAAAAAACTAAGATCATGGCCACTGGTCCCATCACCTCCTGGGAAATAGAAGGGGAAGATATGGAGGCAGTGTCAAATTTTATCTTCCTGGGCTCCATGATTACTTCAGATGGAGACAGCAGCCCTGAAATTAAAAGGCGCCTTCTTCTTGGGAGGAAAGCGATGACAAATCTTGACAGCATCTTGAAAAGCAGAGACATCACCTTGCCAACAAAAGTCCGAATAGTCAAAGCTATGGTTTTTCCTGTCGTGATGTATGGAAGTGAGAGCTGGACCATAAAGAAAGCAGACCGCCGAAGAATTGATGCCCTTGAATTGTGGTGCTGGAGGAGGCTCTTGAGAATCACCTGGCCTGCAAGGAGAACAAACCTATCAGTTCTAAAGGAAATCAACCCTGAATGCTCACTTGAAGGACAGATTCTGAAGCTGAGGCTCCAGTACTTTGGCCATCTCATGAGAAGAAAAGAGTCCTTGGAAAAAACCTTGATGTTAGGAAGGTGTGATGGCAAGAGGAGAAGGGGACGACCGGGGATGAGATGGCTGGGCAGTGTCTGCGAAGCAACCAACATGAACCTGACACAACTCCGGGAGGCAGTAGAAGACAGGAGGGCCTGGCGTGCTCTGGTCCATGGGGTCACGAAGAGTCGGACACGACTAAACGACTAAACACACACACACAAAGGGTGGCAATTAAAAACAGTATGTCTTCTGGCCACATCCTGATGAAAACATAGCCAGGACTATGTATTAATGGCCCATTCTAGTTTCACCAAAAGACTTAGACTTCATACCGACCAATAATATGTCAGAGGCGTGCCAGCAATTCGTTTTGTCACTTCAGCTACAAGTCCTAACAGAATCTTAAGAATCAGAGAATCTTAGAATAATAGAATATTTGTTTGAAAGGAAAGGAATACTGATTTTGTTGCTCTCTGAACTCTAAAAAAATTCAAGATAGCAACTCACTTGGGTCTCAAAATAATTTTTTTGAAAAGGCAGAGCAAAGTTAGAAATTCTGTAGAGAGTAGACTTTGTATTAAGGAAATAGAAAAGCAAATTAGAGTTGTATATTGCCTTGTAGCAGTTTATTTATTTATTTATTTATTTATATTTATTTATTTTATTTATATCCCGCCTATCTAGTCAGCTCAGGACCACTCTAGGCGGCTAGTTTTAAATTGTTTTTTTTTTTAAATTCAAGGAGCATTGCTAGAATAATGCAAAAGTCTGTTGACCAAAGCAACCTTTTACACACGAAACTTGTTTAATGTAACATTTTCACATTATCTTTTCAGAAGATTTTGAGAAGAATGTTCAAGTTTTATGCCAATCACTTCACAGTCCTAAGGGTTTTACAGTAGTCAGAAAGTAATGAGTAACTAACACGCTTTGCAACATTTACTCACACAAATTGCTTTGGGGGAGAAAGGTTGCAACAACATCCATAACGAATTACCTTAAAAACAACTTTCCAAGTAGCCAACAGAATAAACAATTGAACTGCTGAATAGCTCAATGAGAGATGGTGCGCCACCACAAACTGACTCATTTCTTTCCACGCTTCCGTTGCAATGGGCGGAAAGGTGGGGCAAGGGCAGGGGATTGTGGGACTTGTAGTCGAAACCTTGTGGAACACCCCCACCACCCCCTTCTTGAAGCAAACTGTTATACTCAAGCCACTGGCATGCTGCCCTTTTCACCTTCACTGAACGGATCCTCAGGGTTCAGGGAGAAAGAGGAGTGGCTGACTTTCCATTGTCTCTGTATGATAACCCCGTGGATTTTGTCCTCAGCACTCACAGTTCAATTTGAGAGCTTTCTCTCCTAGAGGATTTATACATAGATGCATATCACACCTGTGTACATGGAAGACAGGGGAAGAGCTCAAGTCCAACCTCCCTCAAAGCCATTTAAAGTTGGCCAGGTGAACTTTCTTCCCATCTGACAGCCAGACAGCCACAACAGGACAACAAGAAAAGCTGGAAAAGCTGCCAAATTCCCACCCACCCAGGATGACCCGAGCCAGCCCTGTCCCTAGAAATCCTGCCGCGCCACCCCAAACTGGCCTGCTTCTCTCCGCGCTTCCCTTGCAATGGGCGGGAATGTGGGCGAGAAGGCAGGATGGACAAATGGGGCTCATCTCTCCCTCCCCACCTGGGTGTGAGGCAGCGCTTCACTGGGCGAGGATGGGGACTCGAGAGACCCTTTCTTCTACCCAATCCATACTTGGTGCTCTCCTATGGGAGAAAGGCGAGACGTGGCAGTCAGAAAGAGCTGGATCGTGTGGCGGCATTGGCACCAGATCCACTGCCAGCACCGCGGCTGCAGCCGCCTTCACAGGTTTGGCTTGCTCCAGCGCCCTCCTACCGCCCCCCTTCTGTTCCTTTGCTCCCACACCACCCCTTTTTGTTCTACCGCCCTCCTGAAAAATGAAATCGCCCCCTGGGGGGGGTTATCGCCCACATTAAGAACCACTGGTCTACACCATGGACCTTTGTGACACATTACAGGCTGGATGTCAGAGCTAAAAAGGAAGCAAGTTTTGGAAGGGCTGTGCTGACCAGTTTTACCGTGATGGCCCTCCTTGTGGTAAGTGAGGTTGCTAGTCACCCATTTGTGTGTATTCACAGAGACCATGAAGAAGAAAGAGAGGTTACTTACCTGTAATTATGGTTCTTCGAATGGTACTCTGTGAATCCACACATCCTGCCCAGCCTCCCGACTATCTGTCACGGGTTGTCTAGAGCTTTCTAATTTCCAGAGCTATGGCAGTGGCGGATGTTCAGAACTGAGGTACCACGGGCAGGCAGGGCATGCACACCATGGGGAAATGTCTTTTGGTCAGTTATTTAAGCTCTAGAATATTCCGAAGAGTCCTGCGCAGGTGCAGTTTAACCCATTCATGTGGATTCTCAGACTATCACTCAAAGAACCATGGTTAAAGGTAATTAACTTCACTGCTCTTTTTAGAACTTAAAATTAAGTGCAGGGGGAAAAGAGACAATTCACAAGTTTAAATCTCTGTCTGATTTAGTTAAACTGTGTTGCATTATACTTGCCAGTAGACACCAAACCCCTATGGTGTCAGTAGAAGTGGCCATCTAATATTGATCTTGTGACTAGAGATGAGCGTATTCATATTTGTATACAAATACAAATATCCCCACACAGATGGCATTAATGAGGGTCCAGCTGGTCCACTCACTGATCCACCGCACACGTGGACAGCACAATTCTACTAGTGGCTCCACAGTGCGTGATCTGCTCGCCACTCCTGGCAGGAGGCGGGAGGACAAGCCTCGCTGCAAGGTCCAAGAGCAGTGAGCGGATCGTGTGCTGCGGAGCCATTGGTAGAATTGTGTCATCCACGTCTGTGAGGACAAGCCTCGCTGCAAGATCGAAGAGCAGTGAGCGGATCGCGTGCTGCGGAGCCATGGGTAGAATTGTGCCATCCACGTCTGCGGTGGATTGGTGAGTGAACCATCTGACCCCATGGGGCTGGACCCTCATTAATTCCATCTGTGCGGGGATATTCGTATTTCTGTACGAATGCCCCCATCTCTACTTGTGACGCAATCTCAAAATGTTGCTGAAGTGTTGCTTACCAGGATTAATAATTCATATTTATTATTTACTGCTCAAGTGTTGAGGTCTGCCTTGTTTCCATACAATGCAGCTTGACTCCTTAACCTTGGAAGCATAAAAACAAAAAGACATCGGTTTGAATCCTGTTGATGCAGTTCTGCAAGCATAAGGCTTATGATGTCATCGGCTGCAGCTTTTTATATTTAATTAGAAGTTTCCTATTCCCCACCCCTCAGGTTCCAAGGCGCTCTAGGGATCCCTTGTGACCTGGGGAAGCCTTTGAGAACCTCAAGATAGTGATGGCATCTAAAAATCACCACAACAAGGATATGGACTGGTGGCAGTAATTTTATAACCTTAAAGGCTCCTCCCCATTTGGAGGTTCCCAAAGGCTTCTTCTATTCAAAAGGCATCACTAGGCAGCCTTGGAACCTGGAGGGAAGAGGAGGGGCGATAGAAAGATAATTAGCCATGGCTGATGTCATCATCAGCCTTACACTGCCAGACTCCTGCACCAAGAGGATTCTGAGAAGTAGATAAATTATAGAATATTTTCTAACCCAACAGTGAGAATTGTAAAGTATAAAAATGGTTCATGTCCAAAACAGGGTTAGTCTATGTAGAACTGAATGATTCTTTGGCACTAAGCGGAAGAAAACTCAACGTGAAAACAATTCAAATGAAATGAACACTTTTTTTGTTTCCTTATCCCAGTTAAGCACTGGAGGTCCCCAATGGAAGAGAACTAGATTTCCTCCAGATAGACGAAATCTCCTAACGTTTAGAGAATGACGCTTGTTCTTTGCTGCATAATAATTTGATGGAAAACTGGATTTATATGACTGGATGGGGGGGGGACACCTCTCGATTATAAAAATCAATAGATTGGTTGGAACTTTCCTGTCCCCAGCTATATTTTTGTTTATGGGAAAAAGAAATCTTGTAAACAGCAAGAAAGTGAAATCTGGGGACATTATTTACAGCAGTACAGGTGATAAGATCACAGAACACCAATACTGAAGGCTTGTTTCTGTGTTAATTCATCATCAGATATTGGCTCTGGGGGACAAAATGTCCAATTGTGATGTATAATGGCTAATGTATCTCTGTGTTGCAACAGTTAATAGAATGTCACAAATAACTGCTGCAGAAGGTAAGGTCTGATGGTACACTTCTACAGTTGGATCTTAGCCAAATGGTGGAACAGACCAGCTAGTGGCAGAATTTCAAAGATGATTCTCAGATTCCAGGTCAAGCAGACAAAGAGCCTGTGAGAATGCTTCTTGGGAAACGTATGTCAGACTGTGTGGTCCCTGTTAAGGTTGGAATTGCAGCCTAGATGGCACTCTTTATCCACGTAATCTCAGACCGAAGAGCTGGTGTAAAAGGAAATAGGGCACTGGAAACTGATTTATCTCAAGATCAGACCACCATAGCCCATTCCCCCTTGATTGAAGAGAAAAAATACTTCTCTGTGACTCTGATACATTGATTGCCTAATTCTGAAGCATATACACTTTGCACTTGACATCAGTGAGATTAGGAGTACATTTCTGTGCATGTTTACTTTAAAACATCCCATGCAATTCTGTGCAATATTGAATAAACATGTGGAGTTCACATTCTCATGATTCATATGTGTGTATTTATTTTGTTACATTTATTGAATGTCTTGTAAATTCTCTGGCCATAATCCTTTCAGTTGAAAACAACAATACTACAGAAACGCAACAGAGCAATAAAATCCAACAGAGCATTAAAAATTCCAGTGTACCAGAACACCATGATAAAATGTACAGATTACAAAGGCTCAAGCAATGTGTCATAGGGGCTAGAATAAGAGATCATAACATTTTTAGAAGCACTAAAATTTTTAAGTGGCAGATAACAAAAAAGGGACCTATTTTGTGCTGAAAAAAATAGCCAAGCTGCTGCCAGGTGAATTTTGTTATGAATGTCATTAAAACCCAGGAGCCACTATCAAAAGTGCCCTTGATTTTGTTGTTACTGTAGGGCACATATGGGCAGGTAGGCATCCCCTTAGTCAACAAGGTGCTAAATTGTACAGGCCTTTATATTCTAGGTTAAAACCAGCACTTTTAACTTCAATATGGTATAGGAACTAGTAAAAGCAAGGGAAGGGCAGCATTGCTTGTTTATAGTGCCTCTTTCCAGTTAGATTTCTCACAGCTATACAGTATTTTGTATGGGCTGGGATTTCTGGATTGTCTTAGAACAGTGGTCCCCAACCTTGGGCCTCCAGATGTTCTTGGACTTCAACTCCCAGAAATCCTGGCCAGCAGAGGTGATGGTGAAGGCTTCTGGTAGTTGTAGTCCAAGAACATCTGGAGGCCCAAGGTTGGGGACCACTGTCTTAGAGGAAAGTCTACACCAAATATGTTACACTAACCCAGACTGGAAGATCAGTAGTTACTGGGGCATGGATCACTTCAACTAGATTATCTGCCTCAGGGTAGCAATGTTGCTGAGTACTAACTGAAGCTGTTAAACAGCCTTAGAGCCAGTTCACCCTTTAATGCCAGTGATGGAACCAGGAGCATTCCTAAGCTACACACTTGATCTGTTGGGGAGGAGAGGTGCAGCCCTCTTCAGGACAGATTGACATTTTCACAGTAATGTTGGTAGGACAGGAAAGCCCCTAAACATTTGACCTAAATTCTAAGTAAATGAATTTAGGCTTAGGCCAAAGTTGACTTGTGTTTGGTATTTAATTATTATGCTAGCATTTTACTAACTTTACCTTTAAAAATGTAAAATTTTGTGTTTAGAGTCCTACTAATGTTCACATAAAGTTTGCAGGATTTGCTGTGGTCAGTTTTGGCTCATTGTCGAGTTGCTGAACAACATCTCCGTTGTTCAGCTAGCTACGGTCAGCCATAGCAAGTTATGTGAACACCTATTAAGATCCGGGCCAGTACTTATATAATACCTGCACTGTAAATTTGGCATTTCTGTAAGAATATAGTAGAATAATAAAATGTATTAATCATTTAGTCTACAGGTATTGTTCAAGTAAATGTATTTTGCTTTCAGTAGACAACAAATCACTCAGAGCTGACCACTTGATTCCAAGTGTTGCTTTATTGAAGTGTATTGTATGTGCTTTATTAGAATATGTTATATGACTTGTTTTACTTCAGTTGAGCTGCTCCTCCCCTTTTGTCTTAAGATTATGATTCAGATGCTATGAGCAGCTCTTATGAGTCTTACGATGAAGAAGATGAAGATGGGAAAGGGAAAAAAATGAGACATCAGTGGCCTTCTGAGGAAGCATCAATGGACCTTGTTAAGGACGCTAAAATCTGTGCCTTCCTTTTAAGAAAAAAGCGATTTGGACAGTGGACGAAACTGCTGTGTGTGATTAAAGACAACAAACTACTGGTAATTAAATTTTGATACTTTTTTGTGAAAGTGCCAGGTGTAAATATTGAAGATCATAGTTATGATAGAAAACTACCAGTGAGGTTCTGAAGTACGTGTCCAAGTATCTTGGTTGATCTGCTTCTTATTGACTGGCCAAGTCGGTTTCTGGTCATGGATTGTTTAGTTCCCTTTATAGAAAGCAAGATTATTATGATGAATAGGTCATTGTTATATTGTTTTGTGCAATGTGCAGGGCTTGAAAAATTTTAGAATGTCTCATCAATAAGTCAAAAATTTCACAAGTCAGCATGACCGGACTATAGCCTTACAATTTATTGGGATTGGGAATCACTGATTTATACCCTCACACTTGGGTTGCTTTATTACCTGCGGCCTGTGGGGTCATGAAGCTTGTATTTTGAATGCCTTTTTTTTAAAATGTCGCCAACAAAAATACTGAAAGCAAAAGCGCCCGGCCTCTTAAGGAGCCATGGTTCCCTCCCACCCCTGGATGTGTCCTCATTCGGTTGAAATTAGGAGCAGGGAATCTCCATATTCTTCAGCATGGGACTACTCTACATTCTCCTGCAGAGCTATATCTCTATGTGCCGCTTGAACTCTCATCTTGTGAGAAGAGGGCAGTTTTCCTTTTGCAATGGGAGGGGGAGGGGAGGACTTCAGGATTATTGAGAGAGAGAAAGTCTAAGAGGAAGAAGGCAGGCAGGGAGGGAGCTGCGACTTGTCGAGCAGCATTTTTTACTCAATCAAAGACGAGTGGATGAGTGCATTTTTCAAGCCCTGGCAATGTGTCTCTAGCTTCACATTGTCATGAGTTCAGCCGAAGAAGATCTGTAATCAGAGGGGTTAATTACATCTGAGGAAAATCCTGGGCAATTAGTATCACAGACAACTGAATCACCACCAGATTCTTCTCCCCTATTAGCCAGAGTGAGAGATAAGCTTCAGCAGAGACTCACAACACAGAGGTCTGAGGCTTGCATGAATGCTTTTCACAGACATATCAGGTCGACCAGCCCTGAGGTTTAACAGCATGGAATGTTTCTAGGAATTAGATGATTGTTGCTGCTATATAATTTGTACCCAGAGGCTTGGAAGCAACAATTCAGTTTTCTGACTTGTGTCCTGCTTATCTTGAACCTTGCTCTCTTGACCCTTGGACTCTGACTTCTGACTACGGTTTGTGTTTTGGCTTTGACAATTTGGCATGTGTTTTGTATCTCCTGGACTTCTGACCTTGGACTCACTCATTGGACTTTTGCCTGCTGAATCCCCTAGGAATGTGATACACATCTCTGTATGTGGACTGTTCATTGGGAAGTGGTGTTGGGGTTAGGGAACTAGGAGTGAAGAGCACTTTGAAGCAATTGATCTTGACAGGATGGAATTGAACCTTGAAATTGGCTACAGTGGTTATTGCTGTTGTTGTTGAGGTTGCAGAATTTGGGAAGCCCAATACAGAGAAAAATGTATATGGGAACATGAGGTAGTGATGATATCTTCAAAGTTGTTGTTTAGGAAAAGACCCAGACTAATCTTGAAACATGTAACTAATGGATTCTTTGCTTGATGGGTCTGTGCCAGAACATGGAAGAATAACATAACTATTTCAGCCTCCAGTTCCAGTCCTGGCTGCTCCTGACAAGTGGCTATCCCAGGCTTTATCTAGAAGGCACTTCATGTGTGCTTGTCTTGAGATGCTGGATGCTGCTGCTTTGTGATAAAAATGGGTTGTAAAGAAATTCTGTGTACATTATAGAGGGCAGACAGAAAGACATGTATTGGTTGGTTGGTTGGTTGATTGTTAAAAACTCTTTTAAATATCTACATTTCTCAGAATGAAAATGTTGGAAGGTGGATCTTTAAGATCCTAGTGGGTTTGAGGCTATCTTTAGTCCTAGAAATCTGATTCATGCTAAATCAAGGATGGAGAAAAGGTGGAAGATAGAAGAATTGTTTAGACTAATACACTGCAAGAAAGCAACCTGTGCAACTCAAGTCTGTGCAATTCAGCCTAAGTACTGAATGTTCAGTGGGGGAAATGGCTCACATGGGAGTCATCTGACTGGTAAGCTTCTGGCCTGACTGTTCAGTAAATTATATCATATAAGGTATTCATCTCTTATTAACATGGAGCTTTGTTTCTGTTAGCTTTGATCAGCTGCATCTAGTTAATCTGGATGTGGTTCTTTACTATGGGAAAGTTTTCAACCTTGTCAGCAGACAAACAGAGGCTAGGCAGAGAAATAACAAATAGGATGAGCAGCTAATTACAGACATGACTGCAGCAGAAAGACTTGTCACAGTACAAAAGTTTTGTGGGTCTGAATGCCATATTTTGGGAATACAGTGGTGCCTCGCTTAACGGGTGCTCCGTTTGACGACGAAATCGCTAGACGTCGATGGTTCTTTGCGATCACAAAAGCGATTGCAAAACGATGTTCCCTATGGGGGAATTTCGCTTTGTGATGATCAGTTCCCTGCTTCGTGAACCGATCATCGCAAAGCGATGATTTTCGGCCAGCTGATCGGCGGTTTCAAAATGGCCGGTAGGTAAACAAAATGGCCGCCCGCTCTTTTCTGGCACGGATTCCTCACTGCACAGGCAGCGAAAATGGCCACGCTATGGAGGATCTTCGCTGGACGGTGAGTTTCAAGCCCCTGGGAATGCATTAATCGGATTTTAATGCGTTTCTATGGGTTTTTTTAAATCGCATTACGACGTTTTTGTTTTACAGTGATTTCGCTGGAACAAATTAACGTCGTAAAGTGAGGCACCACTGTAGTTTGCCCTCCTGTTTCCTTAATTCTTTTTCTACCATCAAACGTTGTGGGCAAAATCCAGTTGGCATAAAGTTATGCTGCATAAAGCAGATCTGGCACTGGATATAATATAAATGAATTGAAAGCTTCTTGTTCTTCCTCCCTTTTAGTTTCAAGGCTTCCTAGGGCTCCTTTTTGCCTTGGGGAAGATATTGGGAGCTTCATAATGGGGTGAGGAGCCCTTAATAGTAAAAAGCTGCTGGTGGTGGGACCGGGACTGCTAACAGTGATCTGTCAGTGATTTTTTACTATTAAAGTGGTGTGTATGGATAGAAAGCTTTCAATTTGTTTAATTTTTTCTAATGCCAGATCCAGGATATGCTAGAATATGCAACTGGATATTGCCCATTGTCTCATGACGGTTTTATCAGATCAGTGGAATCAGATCAGTTGTTTTTGATCAATGGAAAGATGTTACAAATGAGGGTTGCATTTTTAAACTGAAAAACTGGAGCTGCTAATTGCTAATATTGCTGATAATAATGCTAATAATTCTGAATTTGTATTTTCAGTGCTATAAAAGTTCCAAGGACCAGCAGCCTCAGATGGAACTGTTGCTGAGTGGTTGCAATATTATGTATATCCCCAAAGACAGTAAGAAGAAGAAGCATGAATTAAAAATCTCACACCAAGGGCAAGATGCTTTAGTGCTTGCTGTGCAGAGCAAGGAACAGGCAGATCAATGGCTGAAGGTATGTGCTACAATTTTAACCAGACTTGTGTCTTAATTCTCATGGTAATTTTAGTATCATTTTCAAATAAAGATGTCAAAAGATTTCAAATAAAAATAAATAAATAAATAAAGATATATACATTTATTTAAAAATATGAAATCTTAATTTTCCAATATAAACCTGAAGACTTTAATGAAGTGTTGACATCAATACTTTTCAAGTATGTTAGTGGCACAGTCAGCCACTAACATATTTGAACCATGAACAGTGTATTGATACAGCCTAAAATGTTATTATTTTTGACTACAGATTCAGTCGAAGATAGATTTGTCTAATACTGATCTTATTTTTTTTCTTTATGGTCTTTGTGAATGCACACAAATGGGTTAAGTCTGCGCCTACGCACGACTCCTCAGAACTTTCTAGAGATTTGAGTCATATGTTTAGTAGGACATTCCCTCATGGTGTGTGTGCTCTCCCCATCTGGAGGGTCCCTCAGTTCCTTTTAGCCGCCGCTGAGGTTAGACGCCTTACGACACTAGAGATACTTTTTTGCGCTTTCAGATACCATTTCACTTCTATCCCTCTTTGAGGCCCCTTATTTGACACACCTGGACGTTTCTGTAAGTTATCCTTTTTTCCTGTTTTCTTCTTGCCCTCCTCCCCGCCGCCATTTTATGCCTCCATCATGCCCTTTCAAACAGTGCGTCTCCTGTGCCAATAAAATCCCCCTCTCTGATGGCCACGACCACTGCTTTTTCTGTTTGGGGGAAGACCACCAGACCCAGATGTGCTCGGAATGTAAAAACCTTACCAAGCCAGCCCTAAAACCCCATTTACAACAACTTTGATCCTTTCTTTGGGAAAAGTCCCTCAAACCAGCAGATCCCTCCACAGAATGGAACCTACCTCTACACTGGTTCTGAGACCGGAGGCTGCTCCTTCAACTCCAGCTCCACCGTTGCCAAAGTCTGGGCAGTCTTGTTTGAAATTGACAGCTAAGTCATCTTCAAAATCCAAATTTTCGATGTGAAGCTCAAAGACATCATCAACTCCAGCTCGAGACTCTACTTCACCTAAACAAAATAAAAAAACAAAACAACAATCTAATGGTCCTAAGAGAAGAAATCTGAAGACCATGCTGGATCTCTACTCCAGAAAAAGCCTAAATGTTCTGCTAAGAAAAGACCGCGGACTGAATCTGCAATTTAGCCTCTGACAATACCACCCCCCAATTCTTGAGGAATCCCCCAGGGATGCTGCCAGTCTCGTTTCTGTGTTGGAGGATGGTTGGCCGCCCTTACCACCTTCGGGCCAGGCTCCATCTCTTCCCTTTAGCCTTTCACCCAACTATGGCTGATGTTATGACCAGCCCGGCCTCAGCCCATACTAGCCCTGCATCCACAGGGCAGGCAACAGCGATACCGTTATCAGACTCTGACCTGACTCTGCAGGAATCACCTCCACCTCACAAGTGACTGGCTAAGTTACACCACCTTTCACCTGGCTATCAGCCTGAGAATATCCACACTGAGAGATTTATTACATTCACAAGTCAGCTCGATGCCGATTTTGCCCAGAATATCCTATAGCAACTACATACAGATGAGCTCCATTCCAAGGTGACCCTATACATCCATACCATACTACTATGACAAACTGAAGAGGGTTCGTTACACCTATGCTTACCCTTCTGATTCATCATCACCCTTGCCATCACTGCCTCAATACTGACACCACTCACACTCTTCGAGACTGTTTCAGTCCGATCCAACCATGGTACCGAAGCCCACAAAGCCTTCTCTTAAAAGGTCTCTACCTCAAGCCACAGTACCCTGGCCTGACCACTGGCCGGCAACAAACGAGCCCGTACTTCTGCTACATCAGGTCCGGCCCCTGCATCTCACCCAAGCACCACTCTCTCTCAAGTGAGGTCATCTTTGGTACATGTTACAACAACATGTAGAGGGCCACCTCCTGCACCAATTGATGCCAATCCAGTTCTGCCTAACCAGTGTCCATCTAAATCTACTACTACCTGGGCCTCGATGTCAAAATCTTGACATCGGTCCCCATCTCCCCCTTTTTCTTTGTTTCTTTATTCCATTTATACCCAGGCTATCTGGTCATTTTGACCACTCTAGGCGGCTTACAACACACAAAGAGAAAAGAAAAAAATATATAAGAACAATATATAAATAAAAAGGAATTTGTGCATAATTAAAATTCAATAAGATGGAAACGGGAAACATAATAAAGAAGGCAGGTACATAATTAAAATTCAATAAGATGGAAATGGGGAAACATAATAAAGAAGGCAAGGAAGGTCAGGGATTAACTGGGGGGGGGGGAAGGCCTGCTAAAATCCATGTTTTCAGTTGTTTCTTAAAAATACCCAGCGAGGGAGCCACACGAAACTCCGGAAGCAGATTGTTCCAGAGGTGAGGAGCCACCGCCGAGAAGGCCCGGTTTCTAGTTTTTTCCTTCCGGGCGTCCCTCGGCATCAGGCTCCTCAACCTCATCTCCTGACTCGCACGGGTAACATGGGTAGATCTAGGTGGGAGTAAGCGTTCCGCCAGGTATCGAGGACCTAAACCGTTTAGGGCTTTATATGTAAGCATCAGAACTTTGAAATCGACCATATGTAAGCATCAGAACTTTGAAGTTGACCTGGAAACGGATGGGCAGCCAATGCAGCGCGGCCAGAATAGGGGAAATGTGATGGTATTTTCTCGCTCCACTAAGAAGTCTTGCTGCCTCATTCTGCACCACTTGGAGTTTCCGCATCAGCCTCAAAGGCAGCCCCACGTAGAGTGCATTACAGTGGTCTAATCTCGAGATTACGAGCGCATGCACCAAAGTAGTGAGTGCCCCCACATTGAGATAGGGCCGCCGCCAGGCTATCTGCCAGAGGTGGAAAAAGGCGGTGCTTCTCACATCGAGATAGGGCCGCAGCTGGGCTATCCACAGAGGTGGGAAAAGGCGGTGCTTCTCACAGAGTCCTCAGCTATTCCACCTTCTGAGGTTTTGGATCTCCCATCAGATGTATCTGTTGAGTCTCCCACTAATCTTCCGACACTGGAGTCCCATGTTGCTTCTTTACTTTCCTTCTTCACCTTCAGAGGACTTTACTTCATATTCCCACCTTGTGCTTCACATGGCTAAGGCTCTTGAACTGGAGGTGGAGCTGCCACCTTCCCCAAAACAAGATCTTGTATTCGATGACATCAGTCAGGACAAATCACTGCCGTTGCGCTTGGTGTTTATCCCTACAATGCTGACTCTTACTAAAGTTTCGTGGGACAAACCTTCCTCTCTGTCCCAAGTCTCCAGGCAGGAGGAAAATCTCTACCAGATGCATGGTGATGACATCACCTGCCTAGTCAAACACATGTTACCTAATTCAATAATTGTTGGATCTAATCAAGCCCGAAACCACTCTGCTATAGCCCCTATCAACAGAGAGGGCAGAAAACTCAATGTCCTTGGATGCCGTCTCTACCCCCTTGCTTCCTTCACCATGCGGGTCGCTAATTACCAGGCAGCAATGGGAGCATATCACAGACAACTCTGGAATAAGGTTCTGCTGGTCTTACAATTTGCACCAGATGAATCTAGAGCAACTGCTCTCAATGAACATCTGGAAGCCATGACCCTAGTGAAACAAGAATGCATTGCTGCTCACCACATTGCTGATGCTGCATCTAAAAGCATAGCTACATCTGTTGCTCTGAGAAGGCATGTATGGCTCCACTCAGATGCCTGCTCACATATTGAAGACTTACCCCTTGATGAAGTCAGTTTGTTCAGTGATAAAACTGATGAGGTTATGGACCTCTGCAACATTCGGAAGACAGCACTTTTGTATTCCACTCAACAGTAATATAAAAACCCACTCACTCAATGGTGTCGTCCCTCCACGTTTTATCAACCATACCAATAATACAAACCTGGTGAAAGCTTGTGTCCCACACTACCATCCTTGACTTCTCCATTCTTCCGACCCCAGGCGTCGATACCCGATGACCTTGTCAACCATTCTGACGACCTGAGAAGAAACCCAAGCAATACTTTTGACTGTCTCTTTTCCCAAATCCGCCAGTCTACACCACTGCAGTCCTATTTCACCCCTTTCTTTCACAAATTGTCTCAGATCACCAATGATGCATGGGTGCTAGCCATTATCCATTCTGGCTATCTTATAGAGTTCATAGAGCCTTCACCAACAGGCTGAAAAAAATTTACCAATTATTCACCCATCCTCAAAGATTTCATTGCTCCTCCAAAAAGATGCTATCCAGAGAGTTCCCATGAAAGACCAACACATCAGCTTCTACTTTGCAGTCCCCAAAAGAAATGAAGGTCTTTGCTCTGTACTAGACCTGCGAGACTTCGACTCTTGTATTCAACCCAAGCGCTTCCAAATGGTTGCTCTTGATACTATCATTCCTCTTCTTCACAGGGGCAAGTGGTTCATTGTTATCAGTCTAAAAGACTCTTACTTCAACATCTTGATCCACCCATATCATCACAGTTACCGTTGCTTCACCTTCCAAGGTGCCATATTCCAATTCAGCTCCCTCCCCTTCAGACTCCCTGCTGCTCCAAGGACCTTCACAAAATGCCTTGCACCCGTAGCCACATGCCTGTGTCTTCACAATGTCACCATCGTGCCCTACATAGACAACCGGCTGGTGGTTGCAGACTCTTATCACACGGCCAAATGAGATGCTCATTTTACCCTTCTTACCCTGGCGGATCTCAGGCTCAAAGTAAACTTCACCAAATCACGCCGCAGGCCCTCCCAAACCATGGATTACATGGCGCTCATCTAGACTCCACTGCTGGCAGAGCCTTCCTTCCTCATGAAAGGATCACTAAACTCACCAAGGCCATGCTCCTGTTCCGCCCTCTGGCATTGGTGATAGCTCACCATCTTTGTCTCATGGCCTTGACCACAGCAGTCATACAGTGTGCCAGACTCAAGATGTGGTCCCTTCAGTCTTAGTACCTGTCTC